CGTCTCCATTGAATTTCACATAGCCCGGATGAGAACAACTTTTGGGAAAGCAAGGCTATGTGAAAGTGAATGGAAACGTCAGCTCAACTCATGTGATTGTGGGAAAATTCTCCTACCAGTCCTCCATCATTTTAGACGAAAAAGGGTGAATACATCTCATCGTGTATGCGTTTGACTTCCCTTGAGCTCATGAGGGCAAGAATCGAGGTCAATTTACTAACCGTGCTATAATTTCGTCCAGTAGAATAGCAAATATGCATGCTTCTTATCAGTTGCAATCCATTCGTAAAGGGGAATTGGCAGTCTCCCTACTTTCCTCGACAACGGTATCCGCTTTCTGGACAGTTGGCGCTCAGTTTGTGTGCAGGAGTGGTGACGTACCTCGGTCTACTTTTGGCGTCTTGAATGCATTTTGAGCCGATTAGGCCAAGTGGGATTGAGGGACATCTTGAGCCGCTATAGTCATTTAATAATGGAGAACTTGTCTGCCCTCAAGCAACTTTATGAGATTATAAAATGACTGCGACTTTATTTGACGATCGGTAATCATCTAGATTCTGCAAATTCTCTTCCTTTGGTCGAACATACATCACTGTCAGTGGAATATTTAGTCGCTAATTGCAAAATAATGAATAGGATATTTAAAAATAAGAGCGGAAAGACGATTTGGTTTTATTTGAAAATACAAAAAATATGTCCACTAAGAGGACAACGCATTGTAAAACTTCATCATTTTATACATTTATTGGTCAGTTGTCAAGTCGGGATGACATAATTTTGCATTCAACTGCCCTTCACTAGTTCGGTCCGTATAAACCTGTTTCACAACGTACCTAAAAAGATTTAGAATTATATTAATTGCGAGAGTGCATAATAAAGAGGATTCTTTTGAAAACATTTAAAGAACAATTGCAATATGAAAACGAAAAAAAAAATTTTTGCATAACAACTCCATTTTCTATTCGTCAGTTCGACACGACAACTTAATCAGATTAATGATTATTGTATTCTACTTTTTATTTTCTACACAAATATTCTGCCTTAATGAAAAGTTACATAAAATCTAAAATCTAATTAATCTTGTAATATTCGTATGTGTATAATAGATTGTGTGTGTGTGTGCATTTCCGTGTATATCCTTAAATCTTCTTAGCTTCTGCATATGTGACTGTGACTGTGTATATGTGTGTGTGTGTGTTTGTGTGCGTATGCAGACATAATTAAATGAGTTTAACATGTGTAAATATATTGACCCAGCAGCTTTGCAAGAGGTGAATGTCAGTCCAACAAGTAATCACACCCGTTCATATACCCTTTTTGGGTCCTCGGAGTGGCTTCAATCGGGCAGGGGATGGAGGTGAGTTGGCATCGGTTCTCGCTCTCTCCCCTTTTCTCTCCTCTTCAGCCTCGTTCAGGCGCCATTTTTAGCTGCAATGGCCGTCCTTTCGGTCGGAAAACGAACTGGAAGCACCACCAAGGCCCGTTGGACGCCGGGCGACCCCTCACGGGATGGGATCAAGACCGGACACGGGGTGCTGGGGGGGAAAGGGGGCATCGGGGCGGTCGACGGCAGGCATTGGTCAGCGATATTTTCACTCTGGTGGGAACATTGGCTCTGTTGGCTGACGGGTGAGGTCATGCAGGGATGGTAGAGCGCTTTCTAAGACTGGCTAGTTGGTGCCTTGTAGACACGAAAGCTGCCGCATTTGTAACAAACGCAAAGTGAAGATCACCGGGGCCTTGTTGTCAAGAGATGTAGCAGAAAATTGCAGATTTTCCCCGATTCCGCGCAAGGAGGTTGATAGTTAATTGGCTGGGCATGAATAGACAAGAATAAACAGTTGAAGCGGCCGAATGCTTGTAACTAGGCTCCGGGACGGAGGGAACGACAAATAAGACGGACACAAGTCATAAATGTGACTTATTAATGAAAACGCCAGAAGCAATGTCGTTGCCAAGGCAACTCGTTCCTGGGGGGGGGCAGGCTGGCCCACTGGATTGAGGCAGTATCCGAGGCTCTGGTCCGTGTCGGCGTCGAGAGACGACCGAGTTCCCACAACATTCGCGCCTCTTTGGTGCCGCTTGTATGCGTGTCGTGTGAACTCGAGGCCAGACTCGGAGGAGAGACCACTCAGCTCGAGCAGAAAGCCCGATTAAAACAAAACAGGCAAAGCAGGCACTAGCTCTTTAAGGTGCCACCGTTGCGTCAACAGCACCGATTTTGCTTCAAAGAACTCTCCAGACGAAATGAAAAAAAAGGCAAAAAACAAATTAGCGCAAACTCACAATCGCAATAAACAGGGAAAATAAAAAGTAATTAAGGTGTGTATACATACAGATCGGA